TCTGCATCTGTCTCTTTCTCAGGGCCATATTTGGGCACCTAGAGGGGTCCACAGTATGGATTCAAGTCAACTTTGACTTTTTTTTTTTTTTTTTTATGTTTCAGATATTTTGAGAAGCACCATCCAATCTTACAATGTAAGTTTGCTGCTATAGTGGGAGATGTGGTGGGTTTAAATCTAAACTGGGAGCTAGGAGGCCTGGGTTGTAGAGTTATTGCTATAGCAAAACAACATTCTGTAGGGGTTTTACTCATGTACTTTTTTCTTTCTGTAATTTCACTCACTCAGGTGCTCATTCACTCAGTCCCTCATTCATTCACCATATACTGAGTGTTTTCTAGGGGAAAGAGTCAAAACAGGCCATTGCAGTACCTTTGTAAAAGTGCTGTGCTGTTGGAGCTCCAGGGACTTCTAACCCAAGCTAGCTGCTCAGTTTCCACGGCTGAGAGTATATGCCTTATCTGCATCTTAGAGGACTAGCAAGACTTCTCTGAAACTATGAGTGGGGCAGTCCTTTGGTGCAACCCATGCTGGAGAGTGCCAATATTATTACCAGATGGTTATACCTTATTACATAACAAGTTAGCCCAAAAGTGAGGGGGTTGGGGTATGCCTTGGGTCTGTTTTTTAAAAGATAGTTATTTGTATTCATCCTTTTCTTATTTGGTATTTATAAAATATTTGAATTATGGCCAATTTTCACATTGTCCCAAACATAAAGAGAGCAATTAAATGAGGACTTACTCCCAAGTAAATCATAATGTAGCAGAAGATACAGACCAGCAAACAACAAAACAAAGCTCAATGAAGAATTGCCTCACCAGTGCTACACATATGGTTGGAGTGCAGGAAATGGTTTTACAGTAAATGACAGGATGAGAGTGAATATATGGCATGGCACTTAGCTGTGAGCCCTCTGGGTCAGATAGGCATGAATTTCCTGGCTGCCTATCCTTAAACAGGTATGCCCTTTACACACACACATCCCATTTCAAAGACTTTAAGGCAGACATCTGCCCTTGCAGTGTTATGGATGGTTAGCGAAAGGTTATGGCTAAGAGTACTGGGACCATTTGCATGATCTGGAGATTTGGTAGCTTAATGTTCTTGTTCATATTTGTAGTATTGATAATTTTACCTACCACTTTTAAAAAAAATACTTGTTTTTAATTATCAACAGGCCTCTATTTTATTTATTAATATGCAGTGCTGAGAATTGAACTCAGTGCCTCACACCATACCAGGCAGGCACTCTGCCACTGAGCCACAACCCCAGCCTATATCTACTGCTTTTTGAGCATAGTGTTAGGTCCTATGGTAGGTGCTTTATACAAATTTAAAATTCTCATTATCAACCTGTAAAGGTTTCCTCAGCTCCGTTTGATAGTTTATGAATATTATGCCCAGAGGGGAAGAGATGCAGAGCTCAGCCTCACATCCAGACAGGCTAAC